ATGTGAAAAGTGTTACCCCATTCCTGAGATTGCTAATTCACCCATTTCCATATCAAAACTGCTGTGCAAATTTGAATGCAGTTTTTCTCAGGGAGGCTTGGTGTTGGCAAGTATAGATTCTATTTATATATGTTCATTCGTACATACTTGTTTCTTTATATGTCAATATTTTGAACTTTATGACACATTTTGTTATGCAGTAAATTTTGTTTTAATTGTGTTTTTATAAATGTGTTCAGAAGGCCCTCTGGCCCTCTCTGAGGAACACAATTATTATAATAAGCCGAGGTTTTAAATTTTGCAATGTAAAACAGCTTGTGAGTTACTACGTAAAGAGAAGATTGAGGCATTAATGTTCTCTGAAAATGAGAGAGAAAAGGAAACACTCATGTAAAATGAGAAGCAAGTAATACCAGGTGTTTTATGTTATGCTTTGATAATATTTTTCTCTCAGGTTAAGAGCCCTAGCTACTGGGCTCTTCAAATCCTAGGAGATTTCTTTGGCAAAACCTCTAGACTTTTCAAAGCCTGATTTATATGTACATATCCACATTTTAAAAATGCTTTCTCACAAATACAAAACCTACTTTTAAAAAAAAAGGAGGAAAAATGATCAGCCCTTCTCCAAATTTTAGCAGGCCGTGAGTCTCCCAGCTCAGGTGGGCGCATGCTGCTTGGCCTCTCAGCCCTGTCTTGCGGAAGACCTGATGACTCCCATTTGTTCCCCTCTCTGTTACATTTCCTGAGCTCATTCACAGCTGTCTTCATTATTCACAGCTCTGAACTGATGAAAGGAGAAAAAAACCAAGTGTTTTCATCTGTATGCTAACTGTGAGAGCGTTTGGGGAGGGGAGGCGGGCAGGGGAGCTGTGGAGGTGGTGACCCTTGCTGTTGCCTTGCAGGAATGTCAGCTCTGCTGGAGAGGAGGCCCGCAGAAGAATGAGGGAGTGTGATGGCCTGACGGACGCATTGCTGTACGTGATCCAGTCTGCTCTGGGGAGCAGTGAAATCGATAGTAAGGTTTGTCATCTTTGTCTTTTGAGGAGCAAGAAATCCAGGTATTCAGGGTACATCAAGACTCTAAAGTGGCAGGTTTTTTTAAAAAACGCATTGTGAGGGATTCCTTAGCAAAGCATAATTTAGCCCCTTTTTTCCTTTCCCTTCTGTTAAGCTGTGTATTTTTGTGTGCTAACTGTTGGATTTGTGTCTGCCTGTGTAGTGTGCGCAGGTAAGCATGTCATCCTCTCACTTGAATTATTAACAGAGAAAATATGATGTTGATTTAAGAAGAGCAAACATGTCATACTCCATGCAAACTTCCTTACACTGCTCTGCCAGGTTTAGCTTAAAATTGATTTTCAGTACCCAGTATGAGACAGAGCTAATAACAGTGAGGTAGGCTTACAAGGCAAGCAAACAAAAAAAAAAAATTGCACAGTTAATAGGCAGTTTTGCAGTAATACCAACATTATTTCTTCTTTGAAGAGGATCAATGAATGCTTTCAATAACAGCTGTTTTAAGATGTATTTTTATGTCAACTTTACTTCTCTGAAGTACTAGAATATGAACATGCTTGTCCAAAGGTGAAAGGCACTGCCTAATTAAAAAGACTTCAAGCATTTGCAAATTGAAGATTTGTAATACATTAAAGCATTCCAGAGAAGAAGAAAAAGGCTAGTTTCAAATACCTTTTGCTTTCAGTATATGGTGCTAAATTAAGTACAGTTGCTGCTCTAGGGCAACCTTGGTCCATTTGCAAACCCCTAAGAATCGCAGGAAAGCAGCCATTTTACATAGCAAAATTTTAAAGCCCACTGGGTTTGTATTTCCAAATGATCCTTCACAGATAGTTGTCCACGGAGCTCTGCGGGTTTATAGGGTGGAGAGGGATAACCTCCAGAGCTTTCTGGTCATTAGCCTGAACCAAAAAGGTGAAATTTGCCCATGCTTTCAGGGGAGGGAGAGAGGAATGATGAGAGGTCTGTAGCATGTGGTGTTGGGACAGCAGCATGTTTTTGTGTTTTAAAGGCAAAAAAACCACCCCAAAAAAACCCACAATCCATTAGTCTCTGATCAGTTTTCCATTAATAAGTTTATCAGAGTGATGATCGGAGGAGGCTCACCCACAAGGCAGGCACCGCACTTGCAGCAGCCAGCTGCCTCCCACCCCTCCCTGACGCCTCCTGCAACGCAGCCCCCAAACATGGGAGTGTTTTTAGCTTCATGAGATTTGGAAATTTGCTTATCAGTTTTTAGTTTGAGGTAACATCGTCCTCACAGTGGACTTAGCTAATTTGTTGTTGACATAGTGAGAATTTTAAGTGTGAAAACTATTACTCGTAAAAAGGGGAATTAAAATTCAGAATGCTAATCAACAAACGCAAAGCTTCAATTTCAGCACGTTATGGATGTGCAGAAGTAAATATTAGCAAGAGTGAATAAAATTCAAATATGGAAATGTTAAAAGTAAAAGAGGTAGCAAACTTTTTATGGTCACCATGAGATCCGCAAAGCTTTGAGGAATGAAAGGTGCACTAAGAAGTTTCACATTTTCTACATATATATTTCTACATGTGTTTATGTACTTGGCTAGAGATTCCAAATTGGTACAAATGTAATGTGAAATTTCATTTACGTTTTAAAAAAAAATAAAGATTTCTGTCTAGATGAGTCTGAGTTCAGTGTTCAATATCATCTCTGGAACTTAATGTTATCTCAAAAACCATGTGCCAAATGCATACCTGGCATAAGCTCATACAGTATATGAAAGCAAATGAAGCCCCATCTGTTAGCCTCACTGGTGAATATGGTAGAGTACGATCGAGCCGAAAGCCTCACAGTCATTCCATTCTGGGTTAATGGAGCAACAGAGATGGAATGTAGTGACTATCAATTTTTATCTCCATGCAGCATTAGGAACAGTTGAAATAGATATAAATAGATACAGACTGGCTTTTTTAACCATGCTTTCCCTGCCTCCAGGGAAATTAAGCATTTATCCTTCCTGTTAACGGTGGTCAAACCAAACTGAACCAACTAAATGAGTAGGCTTCAAGCGAGTCTAAACTGAGCTTCTTTTAGACTTGCAGAAATTATCTTGAATTATCAGTGCTGTGTTTTTCCTCTGCTGCGTCTCACTCCATTTCTGGATTCCCGCCACCATCTTTTACAGAAGGCACAACCTACTAGGGGGACAAATGGATGAAAGGGAAAGGCTGCCTACAAGTTATTTGCAGCCTGGCTAGAAGCAGTAAAAGCAGCAAGGCTCCCGAGATTTCTAGTCTTACTTCTGGGACTCAAGAAACATCATCTGTTCATACTACAAGTATTTGTGAAACAGAACTCGGCTCCCATTTTTCTGGTAATTTACATAGAATTGATGCCACAAATAAGCTTTATTTCTGTTTTTTAAAAAAAAAAAAAAACACAGAAAAAAAACCCCCATAACCACAACTAATTGTCATTTTCTGTTCGTAGCATTTTCTGTTCACTGAGGTGGAAGTTTGCTGACATTCTGTGCATGTTCAGGTTCTCCTGACCACTTTTTATGTCAGCTTCTGTTTCATAGGGGGCTCCAGCATGAAGTTCAGAATGACAATAAAAAAACTCATGCAAAAAATATTGCCCAGACTACTGATTTCTTTCCATAAAAATTTCTGAATCTCTTAAGCTATGGTTACCTGGGGAGCACTCAGAAAAGAGCAAATAAGAATTGTGCTGGGAAAATGTGTGTGCAAAGATCAGTGGCATTTCTTCTGCTTTGTATACAGAGTGAGCAAAGGATTTTAACTTTTTTATGGTTTTGTTTTCTGTGTTGTTTTTTTTTTTCGGTCACACTTTTCAGACCGTTGAAAACTGTGTGTGCATTTTGAGGAACCTCTCATACAGGCTAGCTGCAGAAACATCTCAGGGACAGCAGATGGGAACAGATGAACTTGATGGATTACTCTGTGGTGATGCCAATGGAAAAGACACAGAGAGTTCAGGGTGCTGGGGGAAGAAGAAGAAGAAAAAGAAATCACAAGATCAGGTAAGGAAAGCTACTTGCAGGTGCGTTGCGAGTGGTTGAAGTGCCCATCATTTAAAATATAAATGATTAATGTATTAGAAATAAAGTGCATGATGCATAATATACAAAACTGTTGCCTTTGTTAATTAGCTGAGAGCTTAAAGCAGAGTGTGGCTCGAGTAACGAAAGAAATATGTTTGCTTGAGAAAGTTGCACATTACGTGGTGGCACCTGGAAACTGTAGTCATGGGTACACTGTGAATGCCACAAATACTGTAAACTGCTCAGCCTGTTCCTTATAAAGGAAGCCATTCATAATGAAAAGTGTAAGTCTTAACGTTCAGATGTAATCTGCATACACTTTACACTGTACTTCCACACAGCCATCTGTGTGTAGAGAGGCCTTGATGCAAGCAAACATCAGGCTTACATTTGTATACTTACCTGCTTCAAAGTTAGTCTTGTACGCTGCCTCTACACGTTGAGAGAAAACTGTACAGGCCTGAATCAAGCAATATGAGTGAATGTTAAAAAAGCATGCATATTTTTATATATTTAATGTCGTAACCAAACAAAGATTGAGAAGTACAGTCTTGATAGTTTCCTCAAGTTATTTGAGGTGCTGCGGGTTTTTATTTTAGGTTGGTTGACTTTCAAAGTGTATTTATCTCCTTGTTTTCTTATTAACAAGCTAAAATTTGGGGAATGCTGACAGTGATGTTATGGAGAAGGACGTTGTTGTATCAGTAGACACACTAAATAGCAATGAGAATGGCTACTGATTTATGAACTTTTTCAAATCACCTGTGCTGGCAGCAGGCAGTTCTCCGTCTCTTCCTAGACTTATTTTCCATTGCCATTTATTTCTGTTTCAGATTGCTCAAAGAAAATACTCATTTGAGTAAGCAATTAGGCGCACAGGGTATCTGCATAAATGATGTAAACCAGTAGTGAAAATATTCCTGAGTTCATAAAGGCAAATTGTGTTAATGTGGAAAAGTTATAGGAACATTAACAAGCTACGATTCAAGTACTGAAAAATGCAGCAGACTAGCAAGACTTTAATTTCACCTACTCTTCTAGTTAAACACTGCAGTCATCAGATGACTTGAATTTATTATGGTCTTTTGTTGGGATTCCTGTATTAGGCTACAGCAAGATAAAAAGTGCCAAAGCAAGCTAGTGTTACCCCATAAAGCAGTCACCATCCCTGTTCCTGAATTAACAGTTCCCACACACTATGCTTGCAGTTATTCGAAGTGCAGCAACAAAAATAGCATGTCTGGATATGAATGGGTCATATTGCAACTCGCCTTTCTCTTTTGATGCTCTGTCTACCAACACGCGCACGTGCATGCACCCACATGCGCACACACACGCGCGCTATATAAAGTCTTTTTTAACTCTTCCTTTTATGCTCCTTCTGTGATTTCTGGATCTCGGGTTTATACTTTTAACTCTGTACCACTGACTGTTTTATTCTTCCTGTCAGAATTCTCTGTACTTTAAAGGTTCCCTATAAAAGATCTTTCTCCTCCAGGCCAAAGAACTGATCTCTTTTGGCTGGTTTCCTTTACAATATACGTGCTTCTGCCTGCTCTTAGATATCTTTTGTCTGTTTTTATGAGCATTCATTATCAGCATGCAGCATGGTAAAGGTCTCTTCAGATCTGCTTGTGTTTGTCCAATGGAAGGGTTTCATATAATTTTTAAAATCCAAAGAAAAATAAAACTATGCACATACTTTCAAGTTTATGTTCACTGGGCTTTTCTGTGGCAAAGAAATAAATTTACTCTTTCCAGAATTAATTTTGTGATGCACAGGACCACGTTGCCTTACAAATATTAGAAATATTTTTCTAATGATTTTTCTTCTTTCATCTCAATTCCTTTAAATCTGGACAGCCTATCCCATCTTGCCATATACCAGTTCTCACCTGTGGGTGGCTATTACTCAGTTCAGGAGTTTAAGGGAGCCTTGTGAGCCTTCTGCAGAGTGCGTTATTCTCACCCTTTGATCCTTGACTGTTGTTGACCATACCAAACATTTTAAAATATGTTATCAAGTTAACTAGAATGCTACTAAAACCAAATGTGACTGAGGTCTATCAGCAAGATCACTGTGCAGAAACAGCTCTCCCAAGTTACTCTCATAAACGGAAGAGAAAAACAGAAGAATGTTTTTCATGTAACTGTGCCTTTATATTGATAGCGTAAAGCTTGACCCCCAATTCAGACTGGGGTAAGGGTAAAGGTAATTTTTTTGTCCATTTATTTTGCAAAAATGAGCACACAACTATATTCCGTTGGCTTGCCTTCTGAAAACTACCCAGTCCAATTATGTTAAAAAAAAAAAAAAAAAAAAAAAAAAAAGTTCTTTCTGCTTCTTTGGCTCTGTCATTGTCTTGCAGTTTTTCAGGACCCCAGTACGTTCATTACTACTGAAAAGTAGGACTAACTGGAAACCTAGATCATGTTCTTCTGGACTGTGTCACAGTCAGGAATACTGTGTTTATTGTTTCTCTGTGTGTCAAGAAAAATCAGTATTCTTAGGTGTTTCGCTGGGGTGGTTTTTTTCCAGGCAAGAGTCTCTAACAACAGGATCACCTTGTGTTCCTCAGGTTAGTCAGAGTTCACCCCATCTAAACTAAGCTCATCAACACTTTCTGCAGCTTGCAGGAGAAAGTTTTCACATGTCCTTTCACCATACATTTTCTCCCTGTGTGCTGACTGCTGCCCTGCATACTGCACGTGTACTGTTTTTTTACAGTAATCTCATCATTTTTCTGCAAGATACGATCATAAGTTTTTCCAGGTAATGCCTTTCATAATCTCTTTTAAATTGCAGTGCTTAAACTGTTACCTGCTGCTTGTTCTGTCCCTCAGAACAGATCTCGTGCTCTCCTTGGGATGCTATTTTTAGAGTGCTCATCCCTTTAAGTGCCTCAGCAGGGAAGCTTTTATGCTCTGAAATATCTTATAATATAGTTCTGAAGATCATGCTTATGATGGACGGTGTTTTACATGTAAATAACCAAGGCATACCTATGGGATCTTCATAGGATGCAATGATTTACAACATCTGAAACACTGAAAGCACTGCACACCACCACAGATTGGGAACCTGTGGAAGGAAACCTCAAAGAAATGAAAGACAAGAAAGATATAAAAGTAGTCAGTTACCCAGATACCCCATGAAGAGATGGCATTGAGCTTCAGGCTACTTCTAATAGATAATTCACGCAAAACAATACAAACCTAGTTACCTGTCGGGAAAGTTCTTCACAAACGTAAAAACAAATCTTTCTTTAGGCTCCTTATTATTATCACTTAGAGATGCACAAAGTGGAGTTCAGCCTAGTATTAAAACTCCAGTTATTTACCTTGTGATTCCTTTAATACTTGAGAGTTTTGCCTTTCCTGTCAGGTGAAGCACAGGGTGCAGACACAACTCTAAATGTTGTGACACCTCAGTACAGGTGAGTAGGTTCCAATTCTGCAGCCTGCTACATTTTACGGCCCCAGAAAATATGTGTTGAGGATATAGGTATCGTTCTTTTTTTGGCGGTGCATGGGGTTCTCGTATAAAAAAATCGACTGCCTCAGTCTTCCTCAGAAGATAAGGTTTACAAAAACAGTGTGGGGAAAAAATGTTCAGATTTTAGTGAATGCAGTTGTGAAATTTTCCTTTTACAGCATACTTCCTCAGTCCTCCACTTAGTTTTTCAAGTGTGTATTTTCTTGAACTCCTTCTGAAGTGACTGATATGGGCATTTATGGGGTGGTCTTTAATTTTTTTAATAAAAGTATCAACTTATCTAAAAGCTACTAGTAGTAGAATGACTGTAATTGGGCAATAATGCCAGATGTATCATTTTAGACAGCAGATGTGGATGAAGTCGCAGTTTTCTATACTTTAAAAAAAAAAAAGTCCCATAGACAGCTAGGAAGTTTGTTTCTTAAACCATAAAACGGGAGAAACCTTCTGTAACGTTAAAGTCACTTTCTCATCGGTTTTCTCTGTAAAGAAAGTAGAAGTTAATTTCTTTGTTTTATGATTTAGGAAGCAATTCTCCCTATTTCTCCAAGTTATATTTCAGTTGTAGCCACACATAAGTTACTTGAGGAGAAGAACAGAACTGAGTGGTAATATAAAACATGGTTTTCTTTGAAAGGCCTTTCAAGAACAAATTGGAATATATTTTTCATTAATGACATCAGTTGTCTATACCAATGACAACTTCTCTACATCTTGAAATCAAATAAGAGATGTTTCTTTGTTCAGTTCATAGTTAAGTCTAATGTCACCTTTCAAATGACTTTACTTAAGGAGTTCCCTTAGGATCACAGGAAACAACTGTTCTCCTTATTTCAGAATAAAGGTGGGTGGTGTTAAAAGAGCCCACAATCCTTCCTCTCTTCAGTGGTTTACCAGAGCTCAGACAGGTTCCGGAGGCGATGCTTTGTCACGCAAGTTTAATGCCAGAAGAAACCCAAATCTTCTAAAGATTTGCTATAAAAGCCATTGGTGTAGCATTGGTATTATCTATGGAAAAACAGAAAGCAAAACTTCTATAACAGCTTCAAGAAGAAGAAGTGAGACTCACAAGTGAGACTCACGTGACTATTTCTGTCTCTGACCCCAAGGACTGTAATTCCCTGCCATCACCGTTGTTTGTTATATTCTCTCTGCTGCTTACCTGTGATGAGCTGTTACTGAGCCCTCACCCCACAAAGCTCTCCAGCTGTAGAGGCCTTCATCTCCAGCTAGGACATTATAGATATCGACCTCTCTGCCTTGTGTCATATCACTCTTCAGATGGAAACTAATTTTTCCACCATTGATAATTTTGTCACTGCTGTTGGTATGCTCACTGCTGCCAGCAGGTTTATTCTTTGAGCTGTATGAGAAATGAAGATTATGACAAAAAGCAGTTAGGGAAGATAAGATGTACGGTCCAATTTCAGTAAAAGTGCCAGGGAGTTGTCATTAATCCTGATTTTATTTCTTGTTATGCAGCCCGTTATATACACATGTGGCACTGTTTCATTTCTTTTCCTTTCTTCACTAAGAAGAAACAGGCTGACTTCTTGGCTTCGTGCTTCTCTCGAGTTCACCATCTGTGATCATTCTTGTCAACCCAGAATCTAGCCCAAAATCTGATTTTTGATTGGAAGTGACACTTTTGCAATGAGCCTGACCTTCTCTTTCACCTTCTGTCAGGAGCCTTAAGGTATAACAGCAACATTTCAAGTTACATATCGTTATGAATTGACTGGCACACCTCTTTAGCATGCTTGCTAAATGGGCTGTAAATTCTTCTATCCAGGTGAAATAGCAGGTTTAAGGCAATAATATTTCAAAAATAATAAAAAATAAAGCTGTCAGATATGCCTTTTCCTGTGGTGAGACTACTATTTTACCATATTTCAATACTCTACCGAGCCATATCAAATTAATAAGCACAGACACAGAGAAATGGCAGCAGCTCCTGGGTTTAGCTAATAATCTAGACAGAGATTAGAGATGAAAGGCTGTGTTGCCAGTATGTTCTGCTCAGGAAGGATATTATTTCCACTTTTTGCTTCCTTGTCTTGCACAAGGTGGTTATGCCAAGTGTTGATTAGCAAGAAATCGACTATCTTGAGCGGCTCCTTACAGAGCTTCTTACAACTATTTCTAAATTCTTGCTTGCCTACACAGAAACATCTCAGGTACCCTGGGAATCTCTCAGTATCGTGTTTGACCAAGTTGTTTTCAAAGTCAAAACTACAGGGTTATTAAATATAATTTGTATTTGTCAATTTGTGGAATATAGTGCAAAGCCCATTAGCTTCAGCTTCCTACAGAGAGGAGAGGGGTGAGGAGAAGGAGATGTAGTGAGATGCCAAACATTCTTGTCCCTGGATTGAACTCCATCCTGTTTTATTTGGGAGGGGTCTGGTTTTAAGCAAAGACAAAATGGACAAATCGAATGGAATTATTTTTCTTAGCTAAGTGTAATAATATAAAAAAGTTGAATAAAGGTATTGACAATTATTTTAAGAATGTAATATGTAATCTGAAGTATAATTTAGATTTATTCATATCTCAGATTAATAATAAAGATTTTAAAAATTGGAATGTTTTGAAAGCATTCCAAACACCTTTCCCAAAATTGTAAACATTGTGGCATCAAATTGGGGAGGTTACCATTATTTATGCAACAAACTGTATCCAAAAATTGTCCAGTTTTGTTGGGGGACTATGTGTTGCTGGACCACAGCTCTGCCCTCTCCCACCGTACTCCTGTAGTCTCTGTGTCAGTAGACACCTTCATTTATATTCACCATCTTTCTTTAGGCCTGGATGTCTAAACTGAAATTTGACTTGATTTAAATAGTGGCATTCCCCTGCCTCTTTTGTATCAGGTGCATGGATTCCCATCATCCCTAAAAGCAAGCTCAGTGATTTTGATGAGTTTTTGTTGCTTAACAGTTCATGATAAATTAATACAATCATGTGCTAAAAGTGAGTAGCAAAAAGGGCAGGGAAATGCAGTAATTTGTCTCACATGTTTTTTTAAAATGTTTTCTCATTACTGGGCAGAATGGCAAAACAACATTAAATATTAATTTATCTGCAAGTATCATTTCTAGTGCTTTATAAGCACCAGCACAGCATGAACATATATACAGCTCTATGTGTATCAGCTGATTTTCAGTGTCTTTGGGATACCAGCACAGGATGAACATATATACAGCTCTATTTGTATCAGCTGATTTTCAGTGTCTTTGGGATTGTAAATACCTGAGTTTAAAAAAAAAGTTGTATTTCCACACGTGCACAAAAAATGTATTGGGTCGATCGGATACATTCGATACATTATTTGTACTTTGTCCCTGAAATAATATAATAAGTACCCTGTGCAAACACTGTTCAGTTGCATAATGTGTCCATAATTTGTGCAAATTGGAATGAGATGGATGAAGACCTGAATTTATGCCCTTGGACATCACAAGTCGTTCATTAGTGGACTTACCAAGCTGAAAAATGTATTGGGTCGATCGGATACATTTGATACATTATTTGTACTTTGTCCCTGAAATAATATAATAAGTACCCTGTGCAAACACTGTTCAGTTGCATAATGTGTCCATAATTTGTGCAAATTGGAATGAGATGGATGAAGACCTGAATTTATGCCCTTGGACATCACAAGTCGTTCATTAGTGGACTTACCAAGCTACAAAGCCCAAATCTGGTGTGAGGTCAGATTTGACCTGTAAGACATGTTTCTCATTTGTTTTCCAAAAAATTCTGACAGTGCAAAGATTGAATTCCGAGAGTTAAAATAAGCAGCAGGTTTTTATGTATTTTTTATGAGCTGGTGAGAAGTCATTTCTGGCAAGGATGGTGATTTATATGGAAGAAAAAAGGAGAACTGAGTCACATACAGTGAAATCAACCTATTGGTAGAAAGGCAGAAATGTATTAAAAAAATTCAAAGGCACAGCCCTATAATAGTGCCATTGGAAGGGATTGTTTCTCCAGAAGGCAATTTTCCTGTAGTTTACAACCACCAGTGGGTATTGCTGTGCCAGTTCTTTTAAACTCTGATAACTTTTGTCCAGTGCAGTGATTTTCATATCTGAGCAGCTTTCTGGTTTTGAGTAACTGCTCATGTGTATTAAATGGTCCATTTTGGTAGGGTTTCTGCTTTAATTTAGAAAAAACAGTGTTCTGGATTCTCAATGGTAGTAATCTAGCAAAACCTTGTTAAAATTAAGCTGTGGTGTTATTAGACAAGGCTTGATAGATTGTCTCTTAAATTATATGTAGATTTTTGAAGTTAGCTTAAATAAAACGATGATTGATACTTCTGAAAATGAGAGAATCCGGGTCTTTTCCCAGTGCAAGTATCGTTGTGCTGTTTGAGTCATAACTAATTAAATCAGCTAGGAAAATTAACTGTTGCAGATCTGAACATGGAGTTAATTTGGCCTGTGCTATCTTTGTATGTCTAGTAGATGTTTAATGTTATGATACGTATTTTTTATCTACATAATCACAGTAAGCTCTAACCCAGGGCATTAAAAGGTTTACTTTGTAGCTTATTGTACAATCTGTACATGTCAGAGGTGTTAGAAAAGAGATTGTATTAAAAAGTCATGGCTTGTTTTTAACACTGGTATTAAGGCTATGAATTTTCTAAATCCCTTTATTTGTTCAAAAAAATATATATTTTATATATATATAGGTAAAAATCACATTTAAAATATCATTAAAAGTGCATTCCGCATCTTTCTTTTGTTTTAAAAAAGCAAAAAAAGTCCTTGAATTACCTTCTTTTTAAGATGTTTCATGCATAGGTGCAAGTATTATGCATTCCACTGGAGAGGTGAATCACTGTTCTCCTGGAATAAAGTTTCTCTTTCTGGTAGGAGTGGGTTTTGTGCAATAACCTTCTTGTTGTCCAGGTGTTAATATTGCCCATTTTGGATGTCAGACTAGGGTTATTTTCATGGCAAAACTCTGTGCATGATGAGAGGAAGAGTCTGTTTTGTGAGAGGTGGTTCTACTTACTACATCGGAGTCTCAGGCTGTACGGCTGGCCGGCTGGCCGGGTGGCTGGAAACTGGCTGTGTGGCTGAACGCCTCCAGAACTCGAACGGTGAGAAGCCAGAAGTTGAGCAGTTGGAGAAGACTTGTCACACTTGGGCCTTTCAGGGGATGGAGGCCTTGCATGATTTAGTTTTCCACATTAGTGTTTCATGTTGTTTTTTCCATCTCATGAGAAGAGAGAGAATGCGGAGAACTGCTGCTTCAGGATGTGAATAAGGAAATTCTCTTCATGTGCAAGTTCTAGATTTGCCTCTTCAGATACGTTCACTGGGCTTCTGTTCCTACCCAAAAAAATAAATGCAGCGAAAAATGTTTTTGTTATGTCAGCTAGCTAAAACACTGTGATTTCTGCCAGTGCTATAGCTCCTCTGTAAGGAGTGTTGAATAGGAAATTTAGTTTCTCTATGAAGAATCACTTGATACGCTAAAATTGAGAACGGCTGCTTGCGGGCAGATGCCTTCACACACGCAGACATACATGTTATAGCTTCAATTGAGGTAATTGTCAAGTATTTCACTGTTCCTTGCTGACAATCTGATTTGTACTTTCCAACAGTGGGATGGCGTAGGACCTCTCCCAGACTGTGCAGAACCACCCAAAGGAATCCAGATGCTGTGGCACCCTTCAATAGTCAAACCCTACCTCACACTTCTTTCTGAGTGCTCAAATCCAGACACACTGGAGGGGGCAGCAGGGGCACTGCAGAACTTGGCTGCTGGGAGTTGGAAGGTAGGAATATTAACCTGATATGTATTTCTTTTTCGATTCGGAAAAACCCCAACAGATGACAGCAAGTTGGTGATATAAATGTATCTGAACGCTGCTGGTAGTGGAAGAACCCTCTGTTTTCACAGAACTATCTGCAGTCAAATTTGAGATAGTATTTTAAGTCCTCTGAATTGATACAGGTAGTCGTAGGACAAGTCAGCATGCAGCAGTGAAAATCACATTGGTCAAGTCAAGTATGAAAAATTGCCGCTGAAAACCAATATCCAAATGAGGAGAAGCAGCATCTTTATGAATCTGGGGTGACAGAGCCATGAAAAATGAGCCAAAACTATCACCAGTGGCAATCAAATGAAATCATATTGTTTTGTCGCTGCAGAAACTGGTTGGCATTCTGTCTCTTAAAAGAAACCAGGCAAGAGGAGAGCAAGATATAAATGATGTGACACCAACACAAGTAATCTTACCATCTACTTTTTTAAAAAATAAGACATTATTAAAATGCGTTGACAATATGATTAAATATGTACAATGAGCAAGGAAGTGCTCAGTCAAGGCACCCTATTCCAGCTCATCCTACTTTTCAATTATAATCAAAAGATCTGTTTTTCTCTCTCGTACTATTTGCAGTGAATTGAGAAAAAATTTAAGAACTCTTATTAGATTTTGAAAATATTTCTAAACTTAGAACAAAACAATAAAATTCAAGATAACAGTTGAGCCTGGTTTACTTTTAGGGCAATTCCTTCGTCGCTTTTCTGATGGTAAACTGGTTTGATTGGGTGAAAGTACTAACTGTCTAGTCCTATTGTATAAAGATAATGCCTTGATTTTAAGTTAACATGTGAAAACGTGCATGTATGGGGAAATACGGTTATCAAAGTTAGGTCTCGGAAGGTATGCTGTTTGGTTTTTAAGCATTTGGGCATTCATATGTGATATGTAAATACCAATTTAATGAGGCATTCATTTTGAAATGTTAGCCCTGAGGCTATTAAGTTACTTTTTTCCCCCTAAAGTTTTATTGGAAGTTGAGTTGGCACATTCAGTAGATCTTCAGAGGCGTGTGATTTTTTTTGAGCCCACCAAACTTACAAAATGCCTTTGGCTACTGCATTCATTGACGTATGACATGAGTAAAAAAAGTATCTGTCCAGTGATTTCTGTCCTACAAAGTGCTACGTATACACTGTGCTTGAAAGTCATTATACTTTTTTTATTCTCATATTGTAGACCACATCAGATTGTGTAATCCTGGCGCAGAAACACAATGAATGTGTTTTATTCATCTGGGAATGGGTATAGCCCTGGTCCAAATGAGAAAACAATGCATGCATATTTGCCAGGACTAATAGAAGTGCTAAAATCCAAGTGGTGCCCCTTCTCCCATTTCTAATAAATCTGTACCTGTCATCCTTTAGTTGGCAGAAGTGTATGGTGGCAAGAGGAAGGAAGGCCCCGCAGAGCTCTTTGGCAAGTGTCAGGTTAGAAAAACTGATTTGAACCTTAATACTATCCACGCTGATACCATGGGGAAAGCTCAGTTGTTCTCGTGTTGCTCTATTTTTCTAAAGATTCACCAATTCCATTACAAGTGATGTGCAGACACAGAATGAATATCCTTAATTTCACGTGTCATACTAGGCATTTTTGTGAGGGGAATAATCCTCTTTGGGGATTACATAAGCATTGATGTTTCCACCTTTTGACCTCTCTTTTCCACTGCTGCAGTCTTCTGGATATAAAATGACTGAAATAAAAGATAGAAAACTCTTACAAGAAGAGGTTATTCCTAAGGGGGATTTTCGTTTTTTTAGTTCCTCCAAGAAACTGTGATTGTATAACGAATGGGAAAAGTTTGTTGGGTTTTTTTTTTTTTCACTTGAAATCTTTCAAGAAGAACCTTATGATGGACTGAAAGAGAGAAAAAGAGCAAACTGCACTAAAATAAATAATGTTGCTATTAATATTAATAGCAATAGCAATTGTGGGGTTTTTTCCAATTAGCATTATTTTAATGCCAGAAGAATCCCAGAATATAGGAGGCAGCCAGTGCACCAGGCAAGCTCACACACTTCCGAAGATATGGTCTCTTCTGGAAAAAAATACAGTGCACTTGATACACTTGCATAATTCTTTCCTAGCTGTTTCACCCTTTTGGTTCCTCTGATATAAAGCTGTCTAATCCTCTTCGGTGACCGAGAGGTAACACTTTTAACACAAGCAGTGCTTAACTAGTCCCATTATGAAGGGAAAGTGAGCAGATAAAAGGAAGCCTGAATAATTTTTTAAAAATAAGAAATTGTGTAGGGGATATAGATAAATGTCTGCCACTAGAATTAACAGATGATATGTGTCTAAATCCCCTAGACTGCTTTCGAAAGTTTCAAACACAAAAAGAAAGCAGCAGTACATAGCTTTAAGGATTAATAGGTGAGAGAGGCTGAAAGTTTTCATTATTTCAGGGAATATAGTTTCTCATTGATACATACATATAAAATCAAAACATGCATATAATAAATCTTAATCTGTAGGACATTTTTAGCACTGTTTCAGTTGCAGGAATTCCTTCTGAAGCCAAATACTAACAAAAAAGAAAAAAGTGTGATATACATATATTTGCATATAATTTTTCTATGTCAAGATAAAACACTTCGGACCAAAGCCTTGCCATATATTACCCATCTGCAAAGTAAACTTGGTTTGTTTTTTTTTTTTTTTACAATGACTTGGGTTTTTTTACAATGTCTGTGCAATTATTACTAGAATGAAGACAATCTATAATGACTCAAAAAAGGAGCATATTGGTGACAAATACGTTAACAGGTCCACATGAAAGTTTACTAATAAAACAGGATACTGATCTGAGGTATGGGGAAGGATATTTTCAATGGGAAAATTCAACCTGGGATAGATCACATCTGTGTATCTTGACTTTGATGTATATTCTGTTTCTGAAGAAGACATTAACAGCTTACATACAAAGTAGAACTCATTTTGGAAGAGGTCGTTTCAGGTGAATATGGAAGTTAGTTCATCTCGCTCTTCTGCACCAAGATGTTACATAGGGAGGAATCTGAAGGAAGCAAACTATTCCTTTCATGGAAAAACACATGCATATCCTAACAGATCTCTCTTTTTTGTTCATATACTTATTTAATGCATCCATGCATAATATGAATGGCCCTTCTGGAATAATATATATGGAGATGTCCAAATATGTATGCCTTTGGGGGGGATTTTGACAAATTAAAGTTTTCTACATCACTGCCAGGATATGTTTAAGGGGTGACTGCTTCTTTGCACAATGGCCTGTGATACTAGTAGTTGGTCACTGCGTGTCCCCCTCCTGATGGGGCTGATGGCCACTAGCAGTGCGCACTCCAGCATGCAACCTGACAGCCTACGGGTCAGATTGTCAGCGCTGTACGTGCACACGCCTACCCCCTTCTGCAGAACTCAGCTGCTACCTGGGGCTGGGTGGGTTTCTGTTTGAGGGGACTCATTGCTTCCCAAAATACTTTCTCCCATCAAATCATAACTACAGTAATTTCACTGTATCCTAAACTTCCTGTAGGCAGAAGGAGCAACACATAAAAAGGATGGCCATTGGTTTTGGTTTTGCTTTCTTTCATTGCTGCTCTGAGATATATTTTTTCCCAAAAGTAGACTTTTCTAATTATACTTAATATGAACTTGTATTTTAAAGCTGCTTAGTAATATGAAATAAAAATCGAGGCAAATACATTCCTCATCAAGCTTAGCTGGAGTTTTCGCTAAGCGAATAAGGCTTGAGACATGCCTTTTGGAAGCAGTGGGGACTCTTTACTCCCCATTAGGTATCTGCTGTCATTGGGAGCTCTGTTTTCTTTGCCACCTAATCTGGGTTTTGCCAAGTTTGTGCAAAAATGCACAAATAAAAATAGGAAGTTTGCTGAGTTACTCAGCTGTATTCTGAAGACACTTGCCTGCTTATTAAGAAATTTCTCTCACTGTAACACTTCAAACCTGAAGTCCTTTCTGCAACCTCATATTTATTTTAATACCTCGGATTAAAAAAATTATGAGCTATAAAATTACAAGACTCATCCTGTAAAAGGAAATCTCCATAGAGCTTTTTATATGTAGTCTGGCATCAGTATTTTTCCTTAGATGGTGGGAATAAAAGTGGCAAGTTCTTTTTAGTTTTCACCTTGGTCAAGAGGCTATTAATATGTTAAATCTACTGAGCATGTAAAAAGTTGTATGCCAAATGTCCTAGAGTTAACGATGTCAAGAATCCAAGGTTATGTCCCTTCTGAACAAAATTTCCCTCTCAGGAAGAAAGGAGATATAGGGATATCAGTATATTACTATGTCTGTCTATACGTATCTGACAGCTAAATTTAGGCTGATGTCAGTATACCTGCCAGAGACATTTCTGCAATACCTTTTGCTGTGAACTCATAGAATCACAGAAGGGCTGAGGTTGGAAGGGGCCTCTGGAGATCATCTGGTCCAACCTCCTGCTCAAGCAGGGTCACCTAGAGCCAGTTGCCCAGGACCATGTCTAGACGTTTTTTTGAATGTCTCCAAGGACGGAGGCTCCACAACCTCTCTGGGCAAGTTGTGCCAGTGCTCAGTCACCCTCACCGTGAAAAAACATTTCCTGATGTTGTGCAACCTCCTGTTTCAGTTTGTTCCCATTGCCTCTGGTCCTACAATATTATCTTTTCTATTACATGCAGTCAAAAACACAGTGTTGTCACCACAAGTAGGATTTCCTTAGTTTTGTCAAACCCTTAAAAAAAATTTCCTTATTCATATGATCCTGTTTTGTTTTAAAATACTATCATAACTTATATAGGTAATACATCTCTTTTAAAACCGGGAAACAGGATCTACTATGTTTCTGTTGGCAACGTAATGGCTTACATTAGAACAGGTAGCACACCTGCTCTGGGCTTTGGTTAGTCCCTTCTGCATGCCCAGTCTTCTGTCCCAGTTACTCTTCAGGCTTTACAAACTTCCCTCATCTGCTTTAATGACAGGATGGCCAGCTTCATTTTCCTGAGTGTCTGTTAGTTCCTTGGGCTCCTTAACATCAGCACTTAAACAAGTGCTGCTCTGTTTAAGTCTTGCAATCGCGTGAGGCCATAGCGTTCCTTGGCTAGTTCTTTCTACCTCCTTTCCTTTCGCTTCCATGTTTGATCATACTCAGCAGGGATTGATAAGGCTCTTTGGTTAGACAACAGAATGTCCCTGCCTTTGATCCCCAACAGGTGTGGTACCCATGTGAATGGGGTTTATGGGTCATTGACCTGATCCCTTGAGATAGCTAGATGCAATCTCAGTCTTTGTTCCATAGGAAAGCAACTACATTTATTTTCTTAATTCCATCCTAGAGAAATCTGACTCTCATAGGAGCAAGAGCTCCATTAAGTAAATTATTAGATAAGGAAACTGAAAACATAAAAGGGACTGATTCAGTCACAAGGTCAGTGCAGCTACTTCAAAGAGTAGTATGAAAAGAGTTTCAAGCTCCTTACCATCCAGACACTTGCAGATAATGAGTAATTATTGTCTAAAGCAGCAGACATGTAGGTTATCAATCTTCCTCTTATCAGGCAAGGACGTATTGCGGATTCCTTGGCAGACTTTTCTGGTGACTCTAGTTATTTACATATTAGCCCTTCTGAGTTTCATCAGGCTGTTCCAGGAGAAAGTTTTCTGGATTACAGTGAAAAGGCTTACATTCATTTTCTCCAAAATGCTAATATTACGAATCCTTATGTGATAGGATGGAGAAGACCGCTTATAACACATCACGTAAACAAAAAAAGCAAATTTCTTAAATAACCAATGCTTTATTCTGTCAGGAATTCTTCCCTGGCTGGAATCCCTGCCCCCTGTAGATGAGGCAGCATCAATTAATACAGGGAAACTTATTCGCTCTGTAGGAAGGAAGACCAGATTGAAGGGACAGGATAATGTTCAAGAAGCAAGACCTGCTGCTGCAAACACCTGTATCACAGACATCATGAGGAGACCAGCACGGACATCAGTTTGTGGAATGGGAGCACAGTAGCTTATGGTGAATTCATGCTCAAAGTAATCCCTTACTATACTCAGTCAGTTTGCTTCCCATGAGATGTGTCACTTTTGTCTCAAAGCCTTTATTTTTTAATGATATTAGGTACAGTGTTTGGAAAAGTCATTGTAACGGCTCTCAGATCATTTTGAATACACAGTACATACTTGTACTACTGAACCAAGAATGATGAGGTGCGAGGGCAGTTCCTTCTGAACTTTACCGTCTCAAACATTTAAGATATCTTCTGTTAACACCATTTTAGTTCTCTCTTATTTATTTATTTAACTATTTATCTTTACCCACCAGATTTTTTTCTTTCTCTTTAAGCTTGACTAAAGTCATGGAGCAAGAGGACAGTAACCAGTTAACACTTTTCTCTTGTCCCAAAACAAAAATGTAGAGAACTTACGG